ATGAGCCTTTCACCACAATCAAGATAGTAGACATATCTGTCACCCCCAAAAGTTTCTTTGGGCCTCCTTCTAACCCCTTCCAGCTTCCCTCCTATCCCCTCTCTAGCTATCCCTCCTGTTCTTCAGGCAACTGTGTGTTCTAAAACATACATTTCATCATCAATTCATAAGTAATTCAAAATCAGGACTATAGGATTTTAACTTCATCTCTTCTAGTTTAACATTTGAATTTATTTTCTTCCATGCTGAGAATATGGATTTTCAGCAACACTGGGGATGATGGAATTAGAATATCATACAATTACCCATTTGCTTTATGCCACATTACAGCAAATGCTTTTTAAATGTTAGTTACCTTTGATGCTCTACCCCTCTTCCCTTATAAAGGGCAAATAATTCTTCCCCATAATTTTCCGTTCTAATATTTACAAAGAACAGAGACAGGTTTTTTCATCTTTAACATCTTGAGAGGTCTACAGTTCTGAGTCCTCAGTAATTTCTGGAAAGGGTTCATGCAGGGATGATCTTGGACGCAACAAATGGTCCTGAGAGACAGAAATGCAGTTTGCCCTGGGCTTAGGAAACAAGGAGACCTTCTTGCTGTATGGGGGCTAATGGTAGCAGTGGGTAGGTAAACAGGCAATTACGATCTACTATGGTAACTGCTGCCATAATGGGATGGCACAGAATGCTGTTGGAGCATAACGCAGTGGAGCACTTGTGCCTACCTTGCTCCTGGTATATTAGGGAAGGCTCCCAAGAGGAGGGGACATTTAAGCGGGGTCCTGGAGGAAGAGCAGGAATTAGTGATGCTGGCAGTTAACAAAGAGGAGGGAGGAGAAGGCATTTTCAGGTCCAGAAGCAGCAACAGACAAAAGGTCCAGAAATAGGAAAGTGTGGTTCCTAGAGAAACCGCAAATGAAGAGTTGATGACGACTGGGGTAGTAAAGGGAAAGCAAGAGAGTGCTCTGCTTATCTGTCCCACATGGTGCCTTGTACCTGGCAGGCGTTCAACATGTTCTGGTTTCAGAAAACTATACTTTTTTTTTTTTTTTTGAGATGGAGTTTCACTTGTTACCCAGGCTGGAGTGCGATGGTACAATCTCAGCTCACTGCATCCTCCACCTCCCAGGTTCAAGCGATTCTCCTGCCTCAGCCTCCCAAGTAGCTGGGATTACAGGCACCCGCTACCACGTCTGGCTAATTTTTTGTATTTTTAGTAGAGATGGAGTTTCGCCATGTTGGCCAGGCTGGTCTTGAACTCTTGACCTCAGGTGATCCACCTGCCTCAGCCTCCCAAAGTGCTGGGATTACAGGCGTGAGCTACCGCACCCGGCCAAGAAGAGTACACTTTATAACAACAATAACAATAACAGCTTGTGGCAATTACAAAATGAAAAGTACTGTGCCAAGAACTTTGCATAAATTATCTCATCTAATCCTCACAACAACCCTCCTAGATAGGCGTTCCCCTTCTGCAGTCAAGAAAGCATGTTCAGAAAGGTCAAGTTGCACAGCTACTATGCTAAGTCACACGTCCATATGGTGAAGCAGGGCAGGGAGTCAAAGGCCCAAATTTTCTCATGCCAAAGCCTGAGCTCCTTCCCTCTTACCTTTCCTTCATTCCCTTTTACATGGGTAATAGCCTCCAAGGGGGTCACCTAGAGTTCTACTCAGGATTCAAGTGAAGATGTGTATCTGAGGGATGAGCTATATGTCCCAAGATCTGCTTATCTGCTGCTTGGTTTGGGCCAACAGCCATCTGCACCATTTCTTTCCTCTTGGCTGTGACAGGTGTACTGTTCTAGCACAGACCAGGTCACTGCCTTGTGCCTTGAAGCTCAAATGATAAAACCTAAGCCCCTCAGCCCAGCTGCTGGTCCTTTGGCAAACCAACCCCTGTGCCTGTGCCCCTCAGTGAAATATCTTCTGTCCCAAAGGGCTGCTGGCACACTGGCTTCACCCGTCTTGGTTTTTCTCAGATTCCATGCAGATCTCTATCAGAGCATTAATGCATTTACTGGTTTACACATCCTTCTCTTTCTTCCAGATTGTGAGCCCCATAAGGTCAGGGACCGTGTATTTATCTCCATATTCACAGGGCCTAGTGCAGGGATGGTACAGAATAGACATCTAGCAAATACCTAATCATCCCCACCAAGCCCCAGTTTCTTCCTAGGAGAAAACGGAGGTAACAATATCCATCTTGCGGGGACACCAGGAAGGTTAACTGAGATAATGTCTAAACCAGGCTAAGCAGAGCATTCAGCACATAGTAAGTACTCAATAAATGACATCGCCTATGATTACTATTATATTATTATGTTATACAATAATAATAATAATAAGCCCAGGTGTGGTGGCACACTTATAATCCCAGTACTTTGGAAGGACAAGACAGGAGGATTACTTGAAGACAGGAGTTTGAGACCAGCCTGAGCAACACAGTGAGATCCCATCTCTACAAAAAATTTCTTAAAAAATTAGCCAGACATGGTGGCATACCTGTAGTCCTAGCTACTTGGGAGGCTGCAGTGGGAGGATCGCTTCAGCTCAGGAATTTGAGGTTGCAGTGAGCTATGACTGTGCCACTACATTCCAGTCTGGACAACAGACTGAGATTCTGCCTCTGAAAAAATTAATTTTAAGTTAGTTAAAATTAATTTAAAAAATTTTTTTTTTGAGATGGAGTTTCACTCTTATTGCCCAGGCTAGAGAACAATGGCATAGTCTTGGCTCACTGCAACCTCTGCCACCCGGGTTCAACCAATTCTCCTGCCTCAGCCTCTCGAGTAGCTGGGATTACAGGCGCCTGCCACAACGCCCAGCTAATTTTTGTATTTTTAGTAGAGACAGGGTTTCACCATGTTGGCTAGGCTGGTCTCGAACTCCTGACCTCGTGATCTGCCCACCTTAGCCTCCCAAAGTGCTGGGATTACAGGTGTGAGCCACCGTGCCTGGCCTAATTTAAATTTTTTAAATTAAAAAATTAATTTACATGTAAATCCTGCCTTTGGCCATGGTAGGAGTGAACTTTAATATTCCTTGTCCCATGAACTGGGACTGACTAAATGTGTCCCTAGTTGCAGTATTATTTTTTTGTTTTCTTGTTTCTATTTTAGATTAAATCAGACAACATGTGCATGCTTTACCTATAAAGTTTCTCTCAATTCTTGGACAAAGATTCACTCAAATGAGCTGGAAGGTGAGACATTAAGGATGAATACCTCCTTTTTCTGTGTTGCTTTTGACATCTTAGTGATCTCTGCCTCTCTGTGGATGAACCATAAAGACACCAACAGAAACAGATTAAAAAACCAGTTATGATCAAGAGAATGAAAAAGGGAATCCCCAGGTAAATGTGAACAGTTTAGAAATTCACTCAGGTGAAGCAGGTAAGAAGGCTGAGAAATGAAGGTGAAATTGACAGACTGTGTCAAGTGTCTGCATGAACTGGGAGATTTATACAACCAATGGATAATTTGGAGATGCACTGTGGTAAATACAGAAGAAAAAAAAAATAAAACAAGCAAGAGAACAGGCAAATTAAGATAAATAAATAGATTCAGTTCCAGGGATATCAAAAGTTTTACAAGAAAGGAAAAAATAACTATAGTACACTTTATGGCTCAGCTGGCAATAATGTTATGGTATCATTATGCTGCTTAGTGATCCAGTCAAAATTACAATATAAACCCATTGGGAGGATGGGAGATGGGAAGTGTGTGCATGTGTGAGAGAGAGCCCGGCCCTCATCTTTCCTACTAAGAAGTCAATAGATAATGCCTAACATGGAAAAATCAAGAGGAAGCTGGGTGGGGCACAGTGGCTCATGCCTGTAATCCAGGCACTTTGGGAGGCCGAGGCAGGTGGATCACCTGAGGTCAGGAGTTCAAGACCAGCCTGGTCAACATGGCAAAACCCCATCTGTATTAAAAATATAAAAATTAGCCAGGCATGGTGGCAGGTGCCTGTAATCCCAGCTACTTGGGAGGCTGAGGCAGGAGAATCACTTGAACCCAGGAGGTGGAGGTTGTAGTGAGCCAAGATCACGCCACTGCACTCCAGCCTGTGCAATAGAGTGAGACTCCGTCTCAAACAAACACACACATCACAAACAAAAAAGAGGAAGCTGCAGCAGTGTGGTATTTAGATATACAGTGGAGAAAAAATACCAAAATGATCAGTTAAAAAAGAGGAAAGTAAAAAAAAATAGAGGAAAGTGTTGTGGGGGAAAAGGAAAAGTGGCCTAGAGGTGTGCAATTTTTTGTAACAAGCTTTGTAGAACTATTAATTTGATAATTTGATAGGCGCTTCTATTATGCTGCCTCTGAGCCTTTGCCCCCTACTCCTCTAACCACTGGGCTTGCCGGCCTCTTTCCAATATGCCCTCCTTCCGCCTGGCAAACATCTTGTCTTTTCTAAACTCGGCCCATGGACATGACATCTGTAAAGTGTTTCTGTGTGACTCCCAGGCTTCTGCCTTCGTTTTCCTCTGTCCAATACTTAGAGCATTTAATGTGTTGATACGTCTGTCTTCCCTCTACCAGATGGTGACTCCCTTGAGAACAGGGACTGTGTCTTATCTAGTGTTAATTACCCAGTGTCTACAGCAGAGAACTTCAGAAACCTTTCTAAACCTGGGCTTGCTGCTGTGTAAAATGCAGTGCATAATCCCTACTTCATATGGCTGGTACGAAAGTTTAACCTTTGTATGAGGTCATATTTGTAACGTACTTACCAACATGCATTTAATAAAATACTGAGTGAAAGAGTAAATGTATGAATACATGTAGTGACCCAAGCACCAACTCTCTACTCCTGCTTTTCACTCAGCCTAGGAAAAACTACAATGGAATCTTTCCCCTAAGGTGAAATCGTGATTCCTATTTCTCAGTCTTTGGCCATAATTTTCTTATTTTCTTGTTCTTCCACTCCACCTCATAGCAGAAATATCACAGATTCTGTAGGCGCTTCCTGGTTATAGGTTGCGGAGCTCCTCAGGGCTTGGAAGTGAGTGAAAGGAAATGTTCAACTTCTGCTTCTCTTCTCTTTTCCTCTCCTCCTTTCCCCTCCTGTGGGGGAAACAAACAAATAAAAACAAAAATTAATTTACAAATGTAATTTCTTCAAAGACTGCATGTGAGCAGTGGCGTGGCCAGTGGTGATCCTTGTGTGCATGGAATATTGAGGGCGTGCTCCTGCCTCCAGAGAAAGTGGTCGAGTAGGACAGCTGGCATCCACGGCTTCCACATCCCCGGTGCCTCCACCCTTCATCTTTCACCAGTACTGACAGGAACACTGCTGCATGGGATCTGAGCTGAGCCCCACAAACCTCTAGGCAGCAAGCAGGTACTACCCCATTGGAGGTGACATCCCTCTGGTGATGCTGAAAACCTGGATTGTCTTTTCTAACTCTGTGTTCCCTACTGCTTTACACCTCCAGATGTGAATCTTCAGAATATTATATGCTGGGCTATGGCATGGAGACTAGTCTCACAAGCCTAAAGGACTTCCTTTAATATTTCATGAAAGCATCACATTTCTTTTTTTTCTTTCTTTCTTTCTTTCTTTCTTTTTTTTTTTTTTTTTTTGAGATGGAGTATCGCTCTGTTACCAGGCTGGAGTGCAGTGGCGTGATCTTGGCTCACTGCAACCTCTGACTCCCGGGTTCAAGTGATTCTCCTGCCTCAGCCTCCCAAGTAGCTGGGATTATAGGCATGTACCACCACGCCCAGCTAATTTTGTTTTTGTTTTTGTTTTTGTTTTTTTTTAGTAGAGACGGGGTTTCACTATGTTGGCCAAGATGGTCTTGATCTCCTGACCTTGTGATCCGCCCACCTTGTCCTCCCAACGTGCTGGAATTACAGGCGTGAGCCACCGTGCCCAGCCTATACTTCTTCTATTTAGGTTCACTGTCCTTATTTGGAAAGAACATGCTACAACTTGAAGGAGAAATCATAAGACATACTAAAAAGTATTTTGAAATAAAAACAAAAACATAACATAATAACACTTATGGAGTAAAGCAAAAGCAGTGCTAAGAGAGAAATTTATAGCTATAAATGCCTATGTTTTAAAAAGAAGAAACATCTCAAATCAATAACTTCACTTTATGACTTGTGGACTTAGCAAAAGAAGCACAAACTAAATCTGAAGCTGGCAGAAGGAAGGAGATTAAGATTAGAGCAGAGGACATGAAATAGAGAATAGAAAAAATAGAAGGTCAGTTGAAAGAAACAAAATGTTAGTTATCAATAAAATTAACAAACTGAGTTTGAATGACTACCAAGAAAAGGACACACATAGATGAAAATGGGAACATGATTACTGACCTTACAGAAATAAAGCTTGTAAGAGAATACAAATGCCAATAAATTACATAGCCTGTATGAAATGGAAAACTTCATAGAAATACACAAATTACCAAAACTGACTCAAGAAAAAAATAAAAATTCTGCATAGACTTATAACAAATAAAACAATTGAATCAATAATCAAAAATCTCCCTTTGAACAAAGAAAAGTGAAAGACTACAGGGCTTCATTTGTGAATTCTACCAAACCGTTAAGGAAGAATTAACACCAATTCTTCTCGAGCTCTTCCAAAAAATAGAAGAGCAAATAGTTTTTCATAGCTCATTTTATGGGGCCGGCATCATGCTGATACCAGAACTAGAAAAAGAAATGACAAGAAAAGAAAATTATAGACCACTATTCCTTAAGAATACAAATGCAGAGATCTTCAACAAATACTAGCAAACTGACTCCAACAGACTATTAAAAGGATTATACACCAGGACCAATGGGATTTACCCCAGGAATCTGAGGGTGGTTCCCCTCAGTGAAACACAAATGGATCAGGGTATAGAGCACAATAAAGGAATGAAGAGAAAACCCCACGTAATTATCTCAATGATGCAGAGAAAGCATTTGACAAGAACCAACAGCATTTCATGATAATAAACACTCAGAAAAAATAGGAATAGAATGGAATTACTCTAACATGATTATGGACATTTATGACAAACCCACAGATAACAGCACACTCAATGGTTAAAGACTGAAAGCCTTTCCTTAAGACCAGGGACAGGACAAAATGCGTCCTTTCACTGCTAGTATTCCACTTTGTATCAGAAGCTCTAGACAGATAATTAGGCAAGAAATAAAAGGCATCCAAATTGGAAGTGAAGAAGTAAAACTATCTCTATCTACAGACAGCATGATTCTATATGTAGAAAATGCCAACACAGCAAGACCCTGTCTCTACAAAGAAATTTTAGCCAGGCGTGGTGGCTCATGCCTGTAATTCCAGGACTTTGGGAGGCTGAGGTGGGTGGATCACCTGAGGTCAGGAGTTTGAAACTAGCCTGGTCAACATGGTGAAACCCTGTCTCTACTAAAAATGCAAAGATTAGGCGGGTGTGGTGGTGCGTGTCTGTAGTCCCAGCTACTCAGGA